CCCCGCGCTCTGCACGGGCTCGCGCCGTCCGCGGCCTAGAGGTGGCGCTTGCGGGCGGGCCTGAGATGTAAGGCGCCTGCGCAGGGCTCTCGCCCCGCCTCCGTTACCGTGGTTACCTCGGGTTTGCCCAGCTCCTTCTCGTCCAGTTACTCAGCGCCCTGATTTCAGGATCAGCCTCAGGCTTGCGCGACGGAGCCGCGGGAAGGAGCTCGCTGGGATGGGAGCCGAGGCGGCGGTCGCGTGGGAAATAAAGCGGAGAGGAAGCGTCTGGCGGGTCCCTGGTATCTTGGCCGTCCTGCCCGAGCCCTTTTGCTTCGCTAACCTCCCCCTCACCGCTGCAGTCGCGCACAGCTCGCTCTATCGCCCACCTTTATCCTTTATCCTTTATCCTTACGGCCTCTGTGCTCCAGAGGCAGATTTGGGGGGTTCAATTCCTGGCCCAGCCCCATATAACGCTGGGCAGTAACCTCCCAGTTTCCTCATCTGTAAAACAGTAGTGAGGGGAGGTACCTCCTAGGATTATTGAGAATTAAGTGATGGGGCATGTAAAGCCCTTAGCACACAGAAGGGCCTTGGTAGATGGTTGCGTTGCTGTAGCATGCAAGGCACCCAGCGTGGCGTTGGTCTTAGTCTACTATTTCCTTGGTCATGATAGTCCTGAAAGAAGCAAGCCTTGCTCTCCGGAAGCGTACAATGGAGATCATCTTCCCCTTGTCAGTGGGGAGAAGGACTTCACTAAGACGTGTTGGTTAAAAAATGCTTCTAAAGTTTTCCGTGGGTGCGAAAAAGCATAGTAATTAATGATTAACATTTGATTCTTATCTAGGAGGTGGGGTCGGTTATACAGACACCAAAACAGAGAGAGGGTACTTTGGGAGGCCTAGAGAGTAGGTACAGTAGCCCCCCTTGGTCTGGGATTCCGCTTTCTGCAGTTTCAGTGGCTTCAGTTACCTGCAGTCAATCATGGTATGAAAATATTAGATGGAAAGTTCCTGAAATAAACAATTTATAAATTTTATCTTGCACACCTCTGGGGACTGTGATGAAATCTTGAGCCGTCCTGCTCCATCCTGGGCGGGAGCCCAGGTCATGAGTCATCCCTTTGTCCAGCTTATCCATGAGGGATACCCTCCCGCCCATTAGTCGCTTACTAGCCCTCTGGGTTATCAGATCCACTGTCACAGTATCACGGGGCTTGTGTTCAAGTAACCTCTTTTTACTGAATGGCCCCAAAGCACAAGAGTTGTGAGGCTGCTGATTCGGACGTGCAAAAGGGAAGCAACAAAGTGCTTCCCTTAAGTGAAGAGGTGAAAGTTCTCAATAAGAAAGAAAACCATATTTTGAGTTTACTAAGAATGAATCTTCTATCTGTGAGACTGTGAAAAGGGGGAAAAAAAGTTCATGCTAGTTTTGCTGTTGCACCTCAGACTGCAAAAGTTACAACCACAGTGTGTGACAAGTGCTTAGTTAAGATGAAAAAGGCATTGTATTTGTGGGTGGAAGACCTGAGCAGAAAACCTTGTGCTCCAATTGACAGCAACATGTTGCACCTTAAAAGCACGGAGCCTCAGCAAGGGATCCCCTGAAATGAGTGACCATATTAACATAGCTTTTATTACAGTATATTGTTATAATTGCTCTATTTTATTATTAGCTATTGTTACTATCTTACTGTGCCTAATTTGTAAATTGAATTTTTTCTTAAGTATGTATGTTTTGGGGGAAAAACAGCATATATAGGGATTGGCACGATCTGTGGTTTCAGGTATCCATTGGAGATTTTGGAACGTATGCCCCATGTATAAGCAGAGACTACTGTATAGTGATGTTTAAGTCAACTGTTCTCAAAGCATGGTTGGATGTCTCCAGGGTCAAAATTATTTCATATTAAGACTTTATTTGCCTTTTTTGCTGTAATTAGAGTACAATGGGGTTTTCCAGAGAGAACATGTTCTGTGCAACAGATTGAATACAGAAGCAGATATGAGAATTAGGCCAGACATGAGACTTGCAGAAATGTAAAATAATGCCACTTTTCTCACTAGCCTCTCTTTGCTTTGGAAAATATAGTTCTTTTTCATTTAAAAATGTTAGCCCAGTCAGTGTGGCTCAGCAGTTGAGCATCGACCTATGATCTGGGAGATCGAGGTTCAATTCCTAGTCAGGGCACATGCCCAGGTTGTGAGCTCGAACCCCAGTGGGGGGCTTGCAGGAGGCAGCGGATCAATGACTCTCTCTCATCATTAATATATCTATCTCTCTCTCCCTCTCCTTTCCTCTCTCTGAAGTCAATAAAAATATATATTTTTTTAAATGTTATTTATGTTAACATGGAACAGATTTATTGTTTTTAAATGAATTAATAAAAAATATTTTACTTTTGTTTTGACTCCTGATTACAATAAATGTTGATAGATATGATCCACATAGAAGCTTTTGGGCATCCTCAGTACATTTTAGGAGTGTGAAATAGTCATGAGACCAAACAGTTTGAGAACCACTAGTCTAAACAAATAGCAGTGAGCCAGCCCCTTGACACAAGAGGCAAAGATCTGCTAGGAAATCTTTACCTCAGATGGAGTGGTAACCAATTTATCCACTGGCCCTACACAGAGCTGACTCTGAAAATTGACAATTTACCCTGTAAATAAAATAGTTCCAAACCTTGAGGCAGATTTACTGTGAAACTAAGAAAGCTTCAGGGGCTTTCATTTGTACTAGCCTTTTCCAAGGCCCCGAAGAGTCTCCAGCAATATGTTCACGTGGTCATATGCTTTTGTGAAATTTGTAAAAATGTGGGGGAAGGGGGGAGGAGTAAACCTTTAACTGCAATCTTTTTTTTTTTAATGGATTTTTCCATTGCTTTTCACACAGAGTGGAAGGGAGAGAGAGAAATTGATGTGAGAGAGACACATCGATTGAATGCCCCGGGTATTGAGCCTGAAACCGAGATTTGTGCCCTTGGCCGGAATCAAACCCAGGACCCTTCGGTCCGAGGGCTGACGCTCTAACCACTGAGCCAAACTGGCCAGCGCTAACTGCACTGTTTAGACTTCTAATTCTCTCTCCACCGATTTCCCCACCGTCATACTTCCTCTTTCTAGTGGTGTTGGGGTGGCTAGCAGGCATTTAAAAAATTTAGCTGAAGGGAAGATGAGTTAGAGTACATTTGGTATGAGTTTAATGGGATATATTTTTGTAATTTATAGTCACTTCCACGTATAGTTAAGACATTGCCAGCTGTCCCAGTGTAGGAGTGGCATCCAAGAATACTCCTACCGCTCATCGTAAAACATAGGTGAAAGGCCAGACATTCTTATAGCTATTTGAAGGTACCCTATGTTCTAGCCTCAAAAATATATGGATAGTGGAGGAACAAAGCTGAAACGGTAGGGAGCCTGAAGCTAAATAATCTATGGGAAATTCTTCCAGTTATTGGATGTGTGAAATTTTAATGAAAGATTTAGTACTTATCAATGCTTAGCCAATAAAGGGAATTTTGGGGGGTCAGAATTTAATGGGGATATCCACAACAAACAAGTTAGGGTGTCATCATCTTAAAGAAAAGGGATGTGCCCTGAACCCTTTTAAGTCATTTAAATAGCCTTGAGATTTTCCCAAATGCGACAACAATCCTAAAAATTTACATGACGTTATCCATGAGTTGTGAAGCCGAAAGAGACTTTTGACCTATCCCTATTAATATCATCCGGTTGCCCAAAAAGGACACTTTATATCAAACCTACAAATGTCTGCTCAACCTGGTCATCCCTGCTTGATTATGGTGAAGATGAGACACCTTGGGGAGTAGACAGGCATGATGGATATGACTCCCCTCTGAATAGTCCGACGTTAGAGCAGAGCTGCTCTAGCTCTAGTACTATAAACCTCCAATAAATCCCTTCTCACATCTGGAAAAGTTGAACATGTTCATCAATTAGTGAATGTTTCTTGAATAAAGTATTGAAAGTCCTATATTCTTAGGAAAAAAACAATTATGTAGCTATGGTAACAACCAAGGAGCAGAAGTGATTTTAAACTCAGTTAATAGATCAATGGCTACTCAACCTTGTGAACAAGCCTCTAAAAAACCAGCCAATTAGCCTCCCACTTTTGAAAGTTAGCCACACAACAAAAGCCTTACTCGAGTGAATACATCTCTGAAAATCAATTGTCAATAGTCTTGCCACCAAAGTAATGCTTCTACAGCTGAGTCAACACCCACTCCCACCTTTGAAAGCCAAACCCTGAACTCCACCTTTCACAAAGTACTATATAAA